TTCTATTGAAGATGAAGTCGAGATACTCCATCGATCGATGTGCACCATGTACCATCGATCGATATGATGCGTGGAGAACAAGTCCAACTTGGCCGACTTGAAGCCTAAGTCTTCTCAATATTACAATAATGCCCCTGACGAGTTTTTAACCTAATGGAACTCATATTTCTAGTTTTTGCCATTTTGTTTGGCGAGACATGCTTTTTGAATGTTTTCATTGTTCTAATTCCTTTTGTACTTGAAAAGCTTTGCATACTTTTCTTGTTCCTTTGTTCTATTCTATACTTAGCAATAAAGTATTTCTTTTCATCTTAATTTCTTAAAGGTTATAGAATTCTAGATTTAAAAGAAACACACAAAGAGATTTTTTGTTCGAAGAACCAAAAGTTCAATCTTCTAATCTATGAGTCTCTATTACTACCTTGCTGTTATGAATCTCTCAGCTATGTCTGAGTAGATTTCTTTGTTAGATTTAAGGTTCAAATAGTTATGAGGGATTAGCCCCAACTATGGAATGTTGAATTGTTGATATTCATTATCCAAATGAACTCTAATGCTTACTCTAGAGTAGCTACCTAGAGTATGATCATGGATGTGATTTAACTTGTTAATCATTGTCCTGAAATCATTTGGCATGATCTTAGATCCTCTAGGGTTGTGCGAGAGCCCGTCTATGATCTTGGTGAACACAGTTTCGATTCAATCTTATGCTATATCGATCGATACTCCTATAGAGTCATCGATCGACAGCAACCCATATCGTCCGATATCGCTGTCAAAACATCGGTCGATATTGCTGGCAATAAGATCAATAGATGTGTCTATTTAGCAATTGCTATTAGATCTGTCTAAGAATTGAAGTTCTCATATATCTTGCAAGCAATTCATTAAAAATCTATAGCATTACAATCCTAATTATCTGAATAGCAACCTTGAATCTAACTACTTTCTTTTATTGTTTTAAACCTAAACCCATTCTCTAAAGCAACTTATCATTGCTTACAAAACTGAAATTTACTATTTTAAACCTAATCAACCTAGCATAATCATTTAGGATTACATCTATTGTGTTCCTTAGTTCCCTGTGGATTCGATCCCTAAGTACTACAACTGAACCTCTTATTTGAGAGAGTAATTCACTTCTTAGGGTTAAACATTTGAGTGATATCAAATTAGGCACCGTTGCCAGGGAACTTTGATAACATTAGATTTAACCTGATTAGGTCTAGGTTATTTTTCTTTTATTACTTAATTATCTTCTGACACCAAAAAAAATTTTCTTGTCTTTTTCAGGTACATGCCCAGCAGTATTAGAAGCAACAAGAACAAGCACCTTTTGTACTCAGAAGACCCTCACATCTTGGAACGTAGCATCCGCAAAGACCTACGCTCCTCATCGATCGACAACAACACATCCCTGTCGACTGATACTTGCATACCACAGTCGACCGAGACACCTTCAACGTCGACCGATACTCTCACCGTCACATCGCTCGACATCAACAACCGTTCGTCGACCGATACCCTTCATCTGACATCGATCGATATACCTCACCTTACATCGTTCGATACTAACCGGCGAGACATGGTAGCGCCTATTATTCTCACAGCCGATGAGAATGGAGACATGTGTGATCGAGATGGTCACTTGCGTAATGCAGCAGGTCAGAAGCTGAACGCTCAGAAGGAGATCATACCTGAGCAAGAAACTGCATCTACAAACATCATTCAACCTGTAGAAGACGCTAACCAAACTAGATCTTTGGCTGAATACAACCGTCCAGATCAGTTCTATTCCAACCGATCAGCCATCCGCCCTCCTGCTATTCAGAGAGGAGATTTCGAGCTTAAGCCGCAGTACTACACCCTTGAAGGACAATACCCTTCTGTGGGTTGTCCAATGAGCATCCTATGGACAATATGGAGAGGTTCGAGGATCTCATAACCGTCATAAAAGCCAATGGAGTCCCTCAAGACTATCTTCTCTACAAGCTTTTCAAGTACTCTCTATCTGGAGAATCTTTGCAGTGGTGAGACAACTACCACCGGGTTCTCTCACAACCTGAAGTGACATCAAAAACGCATTCCTGCGTAAATTCTTTGATGAGTCACGCTTTGAAGAATGGAGGAAAAAGATTGCTACATTCACTCAGAATCCTGAAGAGTCATTCAAAGATGCATGGAACAGATTCAAGTCCTACCAAAGAGATTACCCACACCACGGATTCAACAAAGTGCAACTTCTTTGCACTTTCTACAGAGGCCTCACATTGGGTTATCAGAGAGCTCTTGATACAGCTAGTGATGGCAACTTCAACACCAGGAATCCACAAGAGGCTGTGAAGTTAATCGATAACCTAGCTTCCAGCAACAGCACAAAGAACTTCATGAAGACAAAAGCTACATCATTCCTTGGGAAGGAATACATCAATGAAGTGCAAGCACAGCTGGATACCATTCAGAAGTTACTAAACAAGCAAATCTGTTCAGTGGAGGATGCATAGACTGCAGGTGAAGATTATACAGAAGAAGATGTGAACTGGGTCAGTGGAGCTGGTTTTCAGAGATCTGGTAACCAAGGAGGATACAGAAACTACACAGGCCAGAGAAGCAACTTCAACCAGAGTTCACAGAAGCCTAACAACTTCAGCTGCAGCAACCCCAACAACATTAGAAGCTATGGAAATTCATTCTACTCCAACCCACACCCACCCACCCAAGATACTAAACTGGAGGAGATGCTTGACAAGGTCCTTGAGAGTCAGCAGAAACTCCAGACAGACTTTAATGGGAAGATTGACTCCGTCTACAACACCCTCCAAACAAAGCTAGAGGCTTTAAACACCCATATGAAGAAACTGGAGACTCATGTGTTTCAGACAGTAGAAGCCCTCAAGAAACAGGAGCTTGCCAACAACAATAACATTAATGCCATCCTGGATGATGATTTTTGGAAAGAGGTAGTAGAAGAGATCCAGCAATCTGATAAAATGGACTATATTGAATATGGAATTTGGTACAAAGTGATAAACAAGATAGTGAACAAGAATGAAAGATGAAAACTATTTGCAAACTAGAAGTTTATGATGTGAGGTCGATTTGAATAGCTCTCCTTTTATAGCCTTCTCCTCTTCTAACTGCTTCCGCGATCTTCGGGATACCATTTCGACCTCGTTGGGTCTGATCAACGTCGAGCTCCCGATGATATTGCATGGGCTTGGACCTACTTAATTAAATGTTGTAATTGGGTCCAACAATATCGTATATCATAATCAACAAATATATATTTTTTTTTTACTAGTATTACAATTCTTATAAATTTAATTGCATATCATTATATTCGTAAATTATTTTTTGTAAATCCACCACTGCATACATTTATATTTATTACATTAAATGATGATATAGAAGTTGAGATATAAAAACTAGGATTACTATTTTCTAAATTTCATTTACAAATGGTCAACGCAATTACATAAAATTCATGAGAACACATTTGACAATTTTATGATACCATATGCATAAAATATTTAGTAATTATTATTTTAATTATTAAGAATTTTAAATATTATTTTATTACAGATTATTATTAGAATAAAATAATTATTTTTCTAACAGATATTTTACAGGTTTTATAAATATTTATATATAACTCGCTCCTCTCTCCAATTGCAGCCATGCTTATATTTTATTTAAAAAACAATATAATTACTATTATTTTTTAATTTTTATTGTACTTAAAAAGAAATCATGGGAACTTTATGGTTAACGTTGTGTGAACCCTACAAACAGAAAGAGTATATCTCAAGAGAATATTAAAAGAGCATATCTCAAGAGAATATTAAAATAGTCAAAGTCCTCTATTTTTTTCTTCAAAACACACTCACACTCTCTCTCTTGCTACCAGTCACAAAATAAAAATGCAAATTTTCATTTTTTATTTGATAAATGATTAAAACTAATAAAATATTAATTTTCCAAAATCTAAAAATATATTTTTTAAATAAAATAAAAAGTTCCAATATAAAAATATATTATTATTGTTATCTATTTTTTTAATAAAAGGTTACAAATTAAAAGAAGAAAATACATAACTATATATAATCAAGTAAATTTTTTAATTTTATGCAATTCAAAAGAAAACATAAATAACAATTTAGCATTATAATTTTTAATAGTAATGCATGTAAATAATTATAAAAAAATATATATATATGTCTCCATTCGCCAATAAAACACCTAGTTTTATAAGAAAACCAAAAAATAATTTTTCGGTGTATATGTAATTGATATATTTTTGAATAATTGAAAATTATACTCCATTATACATGGTTGGATATCTTATATCAAAATCCACACACACATACTTTTTCCTCTTTATCAGGATTATAATTTTTATAAAGTTAATTGCAAATTATTATATTAGTCAATTTCTTTTTTTGTAAATCCACCACTACATACATTTATATTTATTACAATAAATGATGATATAGAACTTGAGATTCAAATAACAAATGTTTAGTGTATCTTTAATTGATATTTGTTTTTTGAATAATTGGAAACTATTCTCCATTGTATGTGGTTGGATATGTTATATCAAAATCAACACACATATACTTTTCCTTTTTACTAGAATTATAATTTTTATAAAGTTAATTGCAATCATCATATTACTAAATTTGTTTTTGTAAATCCACCACAGCACACATTTATATTTACTACATTAAATGATGATATATAACTTGAGATAAAAAAAAAAACTAGGATTACTATTTTTTTAATTTCATTTACAAAATGGTCAACAAAATTACATAAAATAGCTTATGAACATTAATATCAGAATCCATGCATATCCCTAAGAGAGACATTTAATTAATGTACATAGAATTACATTTTAATATAAATAGAGATGATTAACTACTCAAACTCTTCACTAATTCTCTACAAGAATATGAATCCTTCTCAAAATTGACAAGAGTTTAGAAACTCTCATCAAGATCATGTTCCTACACCTCGTGAGAAAGTGCAAGAGGTATTGCGTGCTTTTAAAGAAGTGTTCACACAGTTGGACCATGACAAACAAGCTAGGCGCGGTGGTGATTTATACGAGGCGACAGCTAGAATAGACCTGAACACACAAGCTTTCTTAGAGCGAGAGGGGAAAAACGTGAACACACCGAACAGAATAGGACATGTTCCAGGAATCCACGTTGGGGATGAGTTTCAGTACAAAGCCGAACTTCGTGTTGTCGGGCTTCATTTCAGGATCATGTTTGGGATCGACTATGTGGAGATAGAAGGTGTGAAGTTCGCAACAAGCATCGTGTCATCGGAAAAATATGATTATGATTATAAGTTTGATGCTGATGTTTTGATATATACTGGTGAAGGAGGAAACATGTAAGCAAGGAAAAGAAAGCTGAAGATCAGAAGATGATAAAGGGCAATTTAGCATTAGCTGATAGCATGATACATAAGAGGGAAGTGAGAGTGATACGTGGCGGCGAGAGCTGGGATGGAAAAGGAAAGCATTATGTGTATGAAGGATTGTTTTTAGTTGATAATTATTGGTTAGAGAAAGGAGTTAGTGGTAAGAATGTGTACAAGTTTAAGCTTTGTAGAATTCCTGGTTAACCTCCAGTGAGTTGAGAACAAAACCATATAAAACCATTAATCAAATAAATGAATAAACTATTATTACATAATAATTTTTGAATGAAAAAAAGAATTGAATGAAAAGGTTATTTTTAAAATGGTAGAAAATGAAGTACATTTTCTATCTTCTATCAAATACAGAGGAAAGCTTTATATGTATGATGGGTTGTATTTGGTTTATCGGCTAGAGGAAGGCCACAGAGGTGATTATGTATTAAGTTTAAGCTTTCTAGGCTCCCTGGTCAGCCTTTAACTAACTTGGGACATTATTTTAGAACGAAACTTTATTAAGTGTGGTAATAGTATAAGACTGATAGGTTACGTCATGGATATGTGAGGTAGTTGAGGAACTTGAATTTTACTTACAAAAGCTGGCTAATATTAACAGTTGGTGATGCTTATGTTTACTAAACTATGTGATAATCCGCGTCATGAACAGAGTGAATGATCTAAAGAAGTTTTAAATTTTAATATCTATGTATTAAAATGTAAAAATACTATTCACACATATTATATGTTCTATATTGAAAGATATCAAGAAATTATGTATGTTTATATAAGGTAAACTCAAAATTTATGTTTTCTTTTAATTTGTGTTATTTCTAAGCTCTAATTAAAATATAGTTTTTGGAATAAATCTATAAACGTAAACAAAGACTTATATAAAATTAACTATATTTATAAGATAAAACGAAACATGTGAAATATAATTATTGTTTTTCATAATAGAAATTATGAATATAAGATAAAAAAACATAGACAATATAAAAAAAAATATTAAAGGAGCAAATAATAAAGAAATTAAAAACTACAATTGTGCCGATTAGTATCTCCAGAGCTCTTAGTTTAGTATGATTAAGTACAAATTTATACTGTTTACAAATACTGAGGAAGCAAAAATATTCCATCGCCCTAATACAATCACAAAATCCCTAAATTATTGTCAGTTATTTTAATTGCCAATATAATTTATGTTTAATATAAATTTGTACTTTCCTATATTATCATTACGAGATTTCTCATATACGATATTCATATATCCATATTTAGTTTATTGCTACAATTACGGTGCAAGTTATTATTTATTGAATTTATTTCATATAAGTTTAAAAGATAACACATAATACCCCATTGACCATAGTCAATAAGTTACATTTTTCAGATCTTGTATGATTTGTAGTTATTGTTGATTGAATTTTACATGTATTTTTAACGAATTTGCTTAATGATCGTCAAACTTTATAACATATATAGTAAGCTGAGTATAGTAATTTCCTTAACATTTATATTTATCATAATCTCGGTACTGTAAAAAAGGATTGAGTATCCAATTAAATATAATAAACAGGGATTAGGAAAATAATAGTATATGTTTAATATGTTGCTTTTCATATTAATATTATGATCTCATGTAATATAAGACGCATAATATGTTGCTTTTGAATTAATATTATGATTTCTTAGAACATATCTAATGTTGCTTTCAGTATATGGAACGATTTGCTGGCTAGGGTGAAGCTGGTCAAAGAAAATCCAAATTATAGCTTAGGAAAAAAAAGCAAGGTGTAATCACTAATTAGTGCTCAATCATGTTATACCGTATTTGTAATGATGTGTACCAAATTTATGTAATTTCCGCAAAATTTGATTCTCTCAAAATAATTTGATCTTTTGATTAAATCACCATTGAAAATGGGATATATTTAATTGTAACTGAAAATCAATTTACTAATTTATAGCGATAAGAATCAATTTTATGGCTTATTGAAAATATTCTTGTATTTTAAGAAACAATATAATATATTTGAAAATGTACTAAGCCTTTTAAGGAAATTTGCCTAATCTACCACATTCATCCTACGCTATTTCACTTATACCTTAACCAACTTTACCTTTAAAATTTTAGTAGGTAATATACTATTCTACCATTTACTAATCAAACCTAATCTTCTTCTCCTACGATTTACTTTACGGCGAGATTTGATGAAGCTGAAGAATTCTCCGGCGAGATTTGACTACGCTGACGAATTCTCCGGCCACATATAAGAAGTCGACGAGTTATCCGGCGACCTGACAAACTCTACATGCTCAGACGAACAAGCCGATCTCTCAGATGAACAAGATAATATATGGTGGTTTTCGTATCTTTCTTTAATTTTAGCTTTATTTCTCAAAATCGACATATTTCTGGGAAGTTTTTGGGAAGAGAGACAAAGTTTTTTTTTCATGATTTTTTTGAATCTCAGATTTATAAAACCTTAGAAATATTTAGTAATGAAGAACATAGTGTTTATACATTATCGTTGATATTTTTTGTTAAACCTTCCTGCTCTAAGTATTTTTATGTTGATCTCTCTCATAACGCGTAAGAAACACTAACAAATGTGACATGATAATAGATGGTGATTTTCGTCTCTTTTTGTTATTTTAGTTTGATTTTTCATGATCGACCAGTTTCTAAGAAGGAAGACAAAGTTTTTCTCATTAAGTTTTTTTTTCCCGACCGCTGATGGCAACAGCAGCGAGGTCAGTTTGTACAGTAACAGATTAAACTCATGATCTGATGTTCAGAAGCTTTGCTCTTCTGATCTTGAATCTATTCAAACACCCTTGAAGTTTCTGCATTGCCTTCGCCACGGAGCTCCAAGATGCAGTATGGTCAGCTTCTTATCACCCTGTAATGTTTTAAAAGTATGATGAAACAATGGTGATTCTCTGTAATTTTTGTTTGCTTAGCTTGTTTGAGAAATGATACAGCAACCACAGTACCACCAGCCAATATCAGATTTTAGGATGTCAATGCAACTTCACTCACAGTGATCCTCACCTCTAATGAAGTCACCTCACAACCTGAAAACATCGTTCATTACAGTATTTGGCATCATAAGGCCTTAGGATATATGAAGTGGAGTTTGTGTTGTTAGAAATGGTAGCTCGCAGATTATATTCACTGAATCAAGTATTACTCAGAAACTTGGTGTTTGTAGTGATACAAACAATGGTTCTTCTGATGGTGATAAGATTAGTTTTGATGCTGATTCTGAGAATTTCGATGTGAAAGAGTCTCAGGGTGAGACCAATGCAGTAGATACTTCTGTGGTGGAACTTAGTCAGAGAGAGTGTGAGAAGGACTCGAATGTCGCTGAATTTTTGAGTCAAACTGATGCTGTTACTGGTGAAGACTTGACCATGACTGTGTTGAGTAGCAGCAAATGTGTAAGTGATGACAGGTTGCCAAGTTATGAGACTATCAACCCTTTTAATATGAGCAGATGTTCGGCTGTTGACAATTTGGGGATGGTAAACCACGGTATGGATGGTAATGATGAGCTTAAGTCATGCTCTTGTTCCTTTTGGCTGAAAGGTTGTGTGATATTCAGTGTTGTTTTTTTGTTAATCTTACTCTTTGTTTTCTCGGTACAATAGTTAACTTAGTTTGTGAATGTAATGAATGTTTTCAGCTGCATATATATGGTCAGATCTTCACTACCAGGATATCTAAGGTCGATTATCCGGTAAGTGTTCTCATTACACTCAAAGTTGAGATTTCATTAATAATGGTAAATTCCATGTATATATTCACGATGAGTTTGTGTTTTGACTGTAGTGTTGAAGAAGAGCCAGAAAGAAGCTAGTAGCTTGATCCGAAGGAATGGTAAAGCAAGGCCAACGGATGTTTATGCTTCTTAAGTGATTCTGTGTGTGTATTTTTCCATCAGATCTCTCTCTGCTTCAGTTTTAAGATTCAAAACTTGCTTATAGGAACCTCTTTCTTCGAATTTAAGACTAGCTATGGATTCTTATAAGAGTCTGTAATGTCCTACTTCTCTATGACTAATATATTAAAGCTTTTTTTTATATTTGACTGTGTTTGCTTGCATCAAGCTGTTCCAGGCTAAATATATTTCCTTATAATTTTGAAATTTGTTTCTTGTAAAAGAAATCAAGCTTGGTTAAGTTGACACTGAATGGTTTAGATTTTGTGCCAATACTCATGTTAGCAAATGGATTACATGAAGGGAAACTTATATGAAAAAGAGAAGAAGGGAAAAATAGTACATTGTATCTAGAATGCAAGCAAAGAAATATGTTGTTTTTGATGTTCTCGTTGTGCTTTCAGTGTCTAAATTATGAAGTAAAGAGTCCATATCAATTTTTGCCCAAAAAAAAAAGAGTCCATATCAATTCTTTGGTGCTAAGATTGGTTACATCCTATGGCGTGTTTTTATGTGTTGAATTATATTTGGTTAAATAGAAATTTTTGAAATTTTGTTATGATCATTATAAAATTTATGAACTCTGGACCATTTATTCTTGTTTATTTGGATTTTTGTTTACAATGTTTCTTGGTTTCAGTTTATAAAACTAACAAGAACTGAGTTTTACAAGTCCAAACTCTGTTGGAGCTAGATTAAATTGATTTATAAAACCTTATAAATTAGTTTATAAATATTCATAATTAAGTTATGGACTCTGGTAGATGTTTTATAAAGTATTATAAATCAATTTATCAACCCTTATGAATCAATTTATACACTCTTGTAAATTAAAATATAATATCTTATAAAATAGTTTATAAAATTTTATAAATCAGTTCATGAACTCTTATAAGCCTTTATAAAGGATATATAAGCTTTATAATATATTAACTCTTGCAAATGTTTTGTAAGACCTTATAAATTATTTATAAATCCTTATTAATTATTTTTAAATTCTTACTATTAAACAGATATCCATGATGCTTTTAAAATTTTTGTTTAAGTAATTAATGGTTTTGTACGCCCTTATATTTTTGTATAAACTCTTACAACTCTTAAAATGATTATATAAACTCTTACAAAATGATTTATAAACTCTTATGAATTGATTTATAAACCCTTATATGTTTTTTGTAAACTCTTATAATTTAATTTATAAACTCTTATAAATAAAGGAGACTTATGAGTAATGTTTTAATATGATTTTTAATCCATACAAATTATTTTATTAACCCTTATAAATGATTCAATTAACGCTTAAATGATTTATAAAATCTTATAAATGGTTTATAAAAATTCTAAAAATGATATATAAACCTTTATAATCAATTTAATAAATCTTATAAATGATAAATAAACTTTTATAAAGGATTTGTAAACCTTTGTAAATCATTTATAAATATTTATAAATGATTTATAAACACTTTCTAAATGATTTATAAACATTTATAAATGATTTATAAACATTTATAAATGATTTATAAACATTTATAAACATTTATAAATGATTTATAAATTACACATATATTCTTGATGCATTTGATTTTTTTAAATAGTCTTGTAAATCCATAGAATTTTGTTTATAAACCTTTATAAAACTCTTATATAAACCGTTAGAAGCAGAGAGAAAGTGATACAACAAAGCAAGCGATTGTAGAGTAGAAACTTGACAAAAACGTGAGTGTAAACTTTATTCGTCTGTCCATTTCAAGAATGTATGTATACAAATGTGCAAGAAATTAGTGAAAATGTTGATGTTGAATAAAAATAAAATACAAGAAAGAAAAAGAGAAGACAAAGTGTATCTAAGCAGAGCATCAACCAATTATAAAGTAGATGTTTTATAAAGTATTACAAATCAATTTATCAACCCTTATGAATCAATTTATACACTCTTGTAAATCAAAATATAATTTTTTATAAATTAGTTTATAAAATTTCATAAAGCAGTTCTTTCAACTCACTCTTTTTATGAAATGGCATGTTGTTCTGCGGCTAAATAATCGAAACTACTCCTTTTTACTAAATTATGTTTCTTGTAATAGAAATCAAGTTTGGTTAGGTTGACGTTGAATGACCTAGATTTTGTGCCAATACTTATGTGACTAAATGAGCTACACGAAGGGAAACTTAGTGAGAAGAAGGGAAATAATATTGTACACGAAGGATCTTTTTGGTTTTACCCGGAAGCCAAAAAACTCAACTTAAAGATTGTTTTGTTTCTTTTACCAGAAGCAGCCATCAATTGATATTTGATCAGGTGGCCTTTGTCACGCACCCATTCAGCTAAGAAGGGTGCTTTCATGAGACGTTTGTCCTTCCCAAGTTCTTTCGCAGCTTTTCTAGTGTAAATGTAGCCCACAGTGTGCAGCATCGCTTCACCAAAACCTGACAGTACCCAAAGTCTGTGCCTTTCATTGACTGAGGAGAGGTAAAAAGAAGAACTTTTACAAGGGTGATTAAGAAAGGATTGATTTACCAGCTGTTGAGAGTCGCCTTGCCTCTGCGTTAGCCCAATTCACAAATTCATCGGTTTGTCCTTCCACGAATGTTTCAAGTTTTTTCTTCAGTGTAGTCACAAGCTTGTCTTCCCTTTCCTTTTGCATCGCCTGCACACAGGGAATTATAACCATCATCAGGTCATAAGAAAACAGTTCAAGAGAAAAGAGAAACAACTTACTTTGATAAAAACAGGTCATAAGTTCATAACCATTGATATTTCCACAAACAACTACCTGAAGCTTTTCCTTCTCTGTAAAAACCTTCTCACTGAAATGCTGGCTTTGTTTCTTAAGTGAAGGTGTGAAGGTGTGAATATGTCCGACACACTTTTTGTATCTAATGATTGTTGTCTCTATCCTTTGAGGTTTGAGACAGAGAGAATGTTTGTTTGGTCGTATCGTAACTGAGAAGATCATTCAATCCTTTAATGGCGGCTTCGTACGATTCTGTTGCCATCTCGTCTTCTTCTTCCTATTTTAAACAAAAAAAAAGACAATCAATTGAGTTTCAGAAAGTTTTGAAAATTATATGACTCGAAACGATCAATTTTGACTGTGAAGCTTTTGGGATCTGAGGAAGACGATTGACCTTAGGGTTATTGATTGGTTCGAAAAGAAAAGGAATTACCAATGGCGGTGCGCAAGGCGACGACGTCACCGGACTGAGCAGCGGCGGCAAAGTCACGGAGGTTTGAGGAAAGCTCGGAATCGCTTTCGTAGTCAACACCATTTTCCTCGATAATAGCGTCAACATCATCTTCTTCCATCAAACCATTGTCTCCCCTTGCTCACATCGGTGAATCCAAGCGGAAATCTGGATTATCTCGTCGCTCGATCTCGTCGTCAAGTTGCCGTCGCCACTCTCCAGAGAAAGAGATAGGAAATTATTATTAATTTATGAAAGGGTTATTTTTGTCTTTTTCCTATTAATGATCTAGGTATTTCTGAAAATGTCTTCATTCTAAGGGTGTGAATGGTGACCAAGGGAATGAAGAAGAACACTACATTACTTAACATTCCTTAAAAAATTCACCATTCATGAGGAATAGATTGTTTTTCTCATTCCTTCTCATTCCCTTGGTTGTAGAGAATTATAGAACAATTTCCTTATTGATTTTGATAAGGAATTATTATTCATCTTCCTTCCTAAAATTTTATTCCTACTCATTCCTTTCCTATCCATTCCTGCTGTTCCTATTATGGTTATCAGTCACGTATTAAGTGTATATATGAATAGTAGTACTAAACAAAGTGTAAAAGTAAAATTTTCCCGCCTTTTAATTATGCATTTTGAAATGGATACGCAGAAGTTATGTAAATGATTACTTCTTTTAATACATTCTTTTTTTTCTATTTCAAATGCATTTTATGTTTAGTATATAGATATCTACTGTTCATTTATACGAAACAATATACTACAACATAATACATTCGTTTTTTTCAGTCCTATTAAGAATAAAAAAAGAAAATCAAAGCACCAATTTCATATAACAACTGAATTTATACAATTATTATATACCTAAAAAGAAACATAGATTTTTTTGTATATGCTATATTTTTGTATATCATGATATATCATGATTGCCTACGTATTATATTATAATTATCATATAAATTCTTGGAGTAGAAGATAAACAATACGATGTATCAAAAATGATATGGTTCTTTGGGTAAAAAGAAAATTATATGGTTCAGTAGCTTGAGAAAACAAATATTTTTTTTCTTAGAAAGTTTGTTTAAAACAAATATTTCTTTAACTTGAGAAACAAACGATGTATCAAAAATATTATAGTTTTAAACAAATGATGTATCATAAATATAATTTACATTTAGCGTGAGAAAGCAAATACTTGTTCAGACATCATATCATATAATAAAAATATTTTACATCACGTGCGTCATTGATATATCATTTTGTTTTGCAGGTATCCAAATATAAGACAATGTAATTAATAAATAATATAGAAATACGTCAAATCTAATTTATTAAAACAAAGTCCTATTAATAGCTCGAGTTTATCAGCAGCTTCAGAAACACAGAAGTCACCAATTCAGATTTATAATATAACTTTAGGCGTAAAAGGTAAGTTAAAATTTGGATATTCAACTACTAATTCAAAGAGGGATTATATTAATGCTAAGAGGCCACTTAAAATTCTTTGAAACAGATTTTACTTCGCGCAGGATTAGGCCTTGAGGGGAGAAAATTCGTACCACGAAGGGTCTGTTGAGTCAAAAATGTACATCCAATATAAGTGACAAAGGGATGGACAAAAGAAAGTAAAACAGATCATAGAGAAAGATATAGAGAGTTAACATAGTAGAATACCCACAAAATGTGTAACTCTGTTTTGATTATGCGGTTACATATGTTGAGATGGTAGATGATGTGGGGAAGCTGCTGATAGTTATTATTTTGGAGACGCTAAGGTGAGTTTTAGGATGAAACCAATGATGAGTCCGATGAGTCCAACCAAAGCTGCCAACTTCAAGGATATCCCGCTGCTACTCTGGTTTCTTCGTCTCTTCACTATCTCCTGCAATGCCATTTTAAAAACGTGTTTGGAGAGATCCTTTGTTACTGAGCAGTTAAGTTCACATGATTCTGTCTAAATGACACTGATTAATCAGTGATAGAATAGTATACCAAGGAAAATATTATGGATGCGTACCAATTCATGTTTCAGCTGTTGTTTTGATTAACAGCTGCGTCTCACTCTTCCTTCAGCCGATGTATAGTCTGATGATACATATTAATGGTATAGAAGTTAGACTGGGAATTAAAACAAGGGAAGAACTTAGTCTCTTTTAGGCTATGATGTGGTGAGTTGTGAGATTCTGTGAGCTACAGTTGCGGTACCTTTGTTGACAATATGAAGAAAGGTATAATAACATAGAGAGAGAAAATAACAATATTCAAAACCTTCAAAATTCTTTGTACCTAATTATCCCGACCAATCGCTCAATCCTTCATTATAATTTCTAAAGCAATATAGAGATTACTAAATAGTCATGGATTATTATGAAAGTTTGTATTATTAATACAACTAAAAGGGGACTATTGATAAAGTGTGTGTCTGAGCAAGAATTCCATGGTATACTAGCATCACAGAGAGAATCATCCTACTATAAAGGTTTTTGCTATAATCATAATTGGTTAGCACGCAAGCTAATAATGTTCTCAAGAGAGATTTTGGAGATGTTGTTTTCACCTGATTTCACCTGATTTTGGCTGATGTTGGAATCCCATGGCTGTATGACACCAGCCAAGCTAATAATGTTCTCAAGCTATTATAATAATGTTTTTGGAGATGTTGTTTTCACCTGATTTAGTGAACAAGAAGTTATAGTGTGGGAAAAAAACATTTATGATAAAGAAAGCATATGAAGTTGATGCAGAAGAAGAATAACCTTGAAAACAACATAGTCCTCAGTCTTATTGGCAACTTTAAGATCACAATAGCTCTGCTTCTCAAGTTCAACTGTGATACAATATATCAACATTCTAATGAGCATCCCAACATAATCAATTTCAAAATCACTTCAGGAAAAGTCATTAGATCCCAAAATCAACCAACAAAGAAGGCTTACAAAAGAATTTGAGTTCATCAGGTACAATGGATATAAGCTGATTCTTGCCAACGCCAGACATTGCACACAATATCAATCAGACATGTACACACATCCAAACCCCTAATTCAAACAATTCAATATTCTATTTTTTTCCCGGAATCAAGAGCAAGAAAAACGGATCAAACCTACGGAAAAGGAACAAACGATGGATCAGCGAAGAAGCTGCTTATTTCTTTTCTCTTTCCCCCCGTAAATCGCTTTCCAACATTACCAAATTTCACCTTCGACTCGTGGTAACAAAATTTTCTGTAGAGAGAGAGAGAGCCAAAGCGTTTCGTGGAGCGGCCACGTGAAGTCGAAGCAGAGTTCCTCCGGCGTCGTCTCCGGGAAGTATGGGAGAGAGAGAGGAGGGAAGGAGAGGAAGGAGAATGTGACACGTGTTAAATAGTTGTGCATTGGAGGAGAAGAAAAAAGGTACAACGACAGGCTGGAAGCAGAGATCAATGACGTGGCAGTTTTTTTTATTGGGGGTTATTCTTTATATACTAAATCACAAGTCACCTTGCCAATCAGATTAAGACACATAAAAAATGTTTTACAAAAAAAAAATAATAATTAATTGAAAATAAATGCTACGATTCCTAATTTCCAGCAGCCACAATCTAAATTTTCTCAGAATATCACTGTCACGTAAAAAATTAACCAGCCACGTTTCCTAACTGTTTTCGTTTGCTACATAATTTTTTTATCTACTGATTTACGTGCACTGTTTTTTTTTCTATTTTGTTTTCATCTCTCCTAAATTTTCAGTTTTGATCTCAGAAGAGTTTCATCATATCTTCTTTCTTTTCTGTCTGCATCAATTTGAAATTTTTCTTATTCATGGCCACTATTAGTACGTATTTCAAATTTCATTATCGACAAGCTTTAGATGAAAGTGGTGAAATACAGTCATCTTTGAAGTTTGAACCTCTTTCAAAGCATCATTTGGATTACTGGTACAGTGAGTTTGTTGATAGAGGGTTTTGTTTCTGGGCTTCCAGAATTTGCAGGTATTCATGAGTAGAGAAATATTCATATGAAACTTATTCTTCAAAATCAGAGTAAAAATATATAGCAGAAATATTTGTATTGTTCAGTTTTAAAATTATTTTGGTTTGATGCAGGCATGTATCTATCTATCTATAATAATAAAGTTGCCTTTTATCTCTCCTTGGGGCGTTTTATTACACGTGTCCACTTATAAAACTCGGCAAATTGTTTTCTGCGTAGTGTACTGGGCCATTTTCTGATTGGTGTTTAATTCATAAAATTCTTGAGCCTTGACTCCTTGAGTATAGAGGCCCATTCTGTCTCCTATTACCTTTCTATATCTTCTGTAACCGCTGTCGTTACACCTCCGCCCAAAATCAGACCTCCCACTAAGCTACAATTAATTATCACACCCATGCCCCTCAATTCTTCCAAAAATCTATAACAATAAATTAGTATATCGATCGACTTCCTTGATTCTCATCCATTAAACCTACTCATTCCTCTTCTTCACTCCCAAACACATTAGACAGAAATGACAACCTCCCATCTCTTGCTTTCCGATTTGAAACTCAGCTGTTGTTGTCAAACCATTTTGACCTCTCTTCTCCGTTTCTGGGGCATGTAAAATGAAAAAAGGAGGTGAGCTAATGAGTTTTTGATGTGTTCCTCATCGATGAAAGGGTTGGTGATCTTGTCATCGTAAGCCTCAAGTTATCAACTTTCCATTTTTTATCACTCTTCCTCCACTAGCTATGTCGGTTTAGTGTGGATGAGATATATGCAGACCTGGATATATGTGATTGTGCCAATTAACATTCTTAAGCTGATCTTTAATACCTTGCTTGGGTTGCCATAGGCAGTTGTTGTACAGACTCATTCCTTTGGTATCTGTTTTTGTTTCAGGTTGTGGAGCATGGTCTTGGACATTAAACAAGTTGTCATTCCCACATGTATTAGAAGAGAAAGTGTGAGATGTAACAAATTTTATAAACTTTCTTATATTCTTTTCTGTGGGAAGCTCGACATGTTAAGAAAGGAGGAGAGTCGATGGGCGTTGATCTGGTTTTCGTAGATGGAAATATTTGTATTTTTAGAATTTGTTTCGTTCAAACACTTTGCACCTGTGAAAAACCACCTGTTTACTGATTACGGTCTTATT